GGATACAGACTAACACGGCTGCTACTCTGAAACAAAACTAACATTATTAAAGTGTCACCATAGCTATGATTATAATCTAACGTACTCTAACTTTTTTTTCCCATACAGCTCAACCAACTGTCAGCCTGTCACCAAAAGAAGTTACAATAGAAAGTGACAAGGAGAAGACTCTGTCATGTGAAGTCAATAAGTTCTATCCAAATTTGGTTGACATTAAGTGGATGAAGATTTCAAAGAATAACCAGGACAGTAGCGTAGCAGCAGAGGATATCTGCACAGGAGCCTCTGTAGAAAATGAAGACGGCACATTTAATGTCACTAGTAAATTAAGGCTGCAACCGTCTTTGCAAGATAATGGAAATGTCTATAGCTGTATTGTGAGTCACAAAACATTTCCTGCCGAGTTACTTCTCAATAGCATCTTGACTGTCACAGGTATCCATCCCCTTTAGGGTCTTATCTCTTTTCTTTTGATATGTCATGTGTTCCAAAATGCTGTGTCTAGACCTCTTTTGAAGGAATTTAAACCATGTCAACCTTTTGCTATCCCTGGGGTGCAGTGATACCAGGTGTCATTTGAGATAGACAGCAGGGCAGGAGAACTGGCCATGCAATGACACTCAAAGAAACAACTATGGAGTGGGAGGAGTGGCAGAGCAGCCAAGGAGAGCCAGTCTACAAAAAGAAGAGGTTGAAATATGTTGGTGCCACTGACACCTTTGGATATCAGAGCTGTTCCAGGTGTACCATCTTAGTGGTGTGTATTTTTGGTGGTAGGTCGGGCTAACAACATTTTGGTGCCTCTCTGAGCTCACTGAGTTGATCAAGATTTGTCTTTAACAAAAGGCTGGTTTTGACTCTACAATACATTGCAACACATTTTTGTGGTCTTCATTCTTGAAGGTTTGCAAATATGTAATGTTTTAAGTGGGCGTTTCAGTACTCTTAGTGGTCTCTTATTATGGCCTTTGGAAGCTCTGATCTGATACAACAAAACATACCTGGCAGTTATTCTCTGGTCTCTTTAGTAGTTCAATGGGTAATAATTTTAGGCCTACATTAACTTTTCTGTGACATTTCAAATATTCAACAAGGAAATGAAGGAGTAGATATGTTTCACTAAATTCTTTGATTTAAGCAAGTTTAGAATTATCAGATTTTTTTTTCCATTCACAGCCCCCAGGTCCGATTCAAGCATTTTAATTGGAGCGGTCATTGGAACAATAATAGCCTGTATTATTGTGCTCGGTTTGGGAGTTTTCGTGTACGATAAGTGTTTTAAGAAAAGTAAGTAGTTTTAAAAGTGCACTGTGCTAATGATATATTAATGGAAACTAATAGATTTAGAATTCAAATATTCACAAGTGCTAACACTAGTGGACAAACTAACAAGAATCAGTACTTCACCATGCTCTTTAGCTGCCCATCAGTTAAATGAAGGTTAGTCAAATGTCCCAAAAGCAGTACACACCATTGCTTTTGTTCCCCTGCTTATCCAGCCCCCCATTTTCACTGAATCCTTCAGATGCCTCTGAAGCCCTTTGGGAAAAAATTAGGGATCATTTTGTATTTTACTAGAACATTTTAAACAAATTGGAACATGATAGGTATTAAATAGGAGAAGTGACAGGCTTGGTAAGAAATGCTCTGCTTTCATATACTGTCACAAAAGGATTTGCTCTTAAAGTTTCCTTTTTTTGGTTTAGTAGGTGAGAGTGTCATTCTGAATTCTTCCATACGAACACAGCATCAGTAGTAACTGGAACTAACTTAAAGTGATAACTTTTAACAATATGATCTATTTTTTTAGTACTAACTGTACAGAAAAAATACTGATACATAAAAAGGGAGATGAAACCCTTGCTCAGATCACCCCTTTATTGAGAAAGATTCATGTGAAAGACTGAAAATTTGAGGACTATATGTATCTGACCATATAGTCACTTATCTGCCAAGGACTGTGGAGAAGAAACAACAATTGGGGCATTTGAATCAAGGGAATTCAAGCATATGGTATATTAAAAAAATACAGCATTGGTAAAGATAGTTCATGTTGGTAAGCACAATGCTTTAGCATATAGAAATACAGTGTAACTTTTATACAGTAGAGGTAGAAAAATTGCACTTCACTTTTTAGTTTGTCATTCTTCACAACATGGTGCATCGTGCAACTAACTTATATATTTTATTGCAGTTCCACCAACAATAATGGCATTCATAGGGAATGTGGAAATGAAGCATTTAGAAGACACTTCTTTGTATTGTCAATTTTCCGGCTTTCGTCCAAAACCTATAACTGTAGCTTTTTTTTTGAAAAAGTATCAACAAGAACAAAAGGAGACAATTTACTATTGGAACAGTGAAAAGGATGACATCCAACGAGATGAGGAAAGTGCTGCTCTCCTGTCTACGTCAAAGAATTTTCAGTTTCAGATATACTTGAAGTCACTAGATAATGGCACTTTTGAAGTTCCATGCATCATTCGTATATCTCCAAACGTGCATGAGCTAAACAAGGCAGAGATTTCTCTTGAAATTATACACGAGGCCCTTCAGCAACGTCCTGCTATGGCAATAACAGAATTGAAGGTCATAGGTAAGCAAAGTGCTTTGCAGTACGCAAACTTTAGTTTCTTCAAGTTCAGTCACTGTCTGAATTAAGAACGTAAGAACTGCACCATACTGAGTCAGACCAATGGTTAATCCAGCTCAGTATCCTGTCTCCAACAGTGGCCAGTTCCAGAGCTTCAGGGGGAGTGTACAGAACAGGGCAATACTGGAGTGATCCACCTGTCTTCCCCTCCCACGCAGTCAGATGTTTAGGCACACCCAGGACATGGGGTTATGTCTCTGACCATCTTGGCTAGTAGTCATTAATGGACCTACTCTCCGTGAACTTAACTAGTTCTTTTTTGAACACAGTTATACTTTTTGGCCATCACAGCATCCCATACTAGTGAGTTCCACAGGTAAACCATGTGTTGACTGAAACAGTACTTCCTCTTGCATGTATTAAACTTGCTGACTATTAATTTCATGGGGTGACCCCTGGTTTTTGTATTGTGGGAAAGGGTAAATAACACTTTCCTGTTCATTTTTTCAACACCCTTCAACATTGTATAGACCTCTATCATATTCCCCCTTAATTGTCTCTTTTTGAAGCTGAACAGCCCTAATCTTTTTAGTCTCTCCTTGTGTGGAAGATGTTCCATGCCTCTGATAATCTTTGTTGCCATTCTCTGAACTTTTTCCAGTTCCACTGTATCCTTTTTGAGATGGGGCAACCAGAACTGGACACAGTATTTAAGGTGCAGGCACAATATAGATCAATATAGTGGCATTATGATATTTTCTGTCTTATGTGCTATCCCTTTCCTGGTAGTTCCTAACATTCTGTTAGCTTTTTTGATCACTGCTGTGTGGAGCTGAAGTTTTCAGCGAGCTATCCATGATGACTCAAAGATCTCTGTATTCAGTGGTAAGAGTTAGTTTAGACCCTATCATTTTTTACAACATGCATTACTTTGCACTTTTCAATGTTGAATATCATCTGCCATTTTTTCATCCAGTGACGTAGTTTTTTGAGATCCCCCTGTAACTCTTCGCAGTCAGCTTTGGACTTGGCTATCTTGAATAATTTTGTAATTATTTTTGTTGACAATTTTATTGTTGACAGGTTCATAGCTGGCATTACAATAAAATATTTCTTCTCAAAATGAATATTAGCTCCACATTGCAAAGCCATCTGATGGGAAATTCAGGCAGCATTTAACCTTGGGTTTTTCCATTCATGGCATTTTGAGGCTGGGTCCTCTTTGTCTCGGAGGTTATAAGAACTATTCACTTTGCCCCAGATTCCCTTTGCTTGAAGATCTTTGGCTTTACTTACCCTTACTTGGCATTGCTGTTGGTAACATATTATGTCCTATCTATGTGGTAATGTTAGTATCTCAGTACTGAATTTTTAGATATCTTCTCATATTTTTCCAAGAACTAGTAAAGTCACAAGGTGTTTCCCTAGTTTTCATTTGGAATGCTTGGACATGGATACTTGTGAATAACAGACCCTTTTAAGTATTCAGAAAGTATCAATTAGATTTTGCATTAGAGAACTTAAAGGTTAAACTTGAGATATACATAGAGTCAAGAAGCAATTACAGACGCTGTGAAGTATGCCTTGCTAGCACGCTGGCCTGTGGCATGTTAAAATTAAAGGGGCTTCCTTAATTGGAATAGGATCCAGATCTACCAACTCTCATTTAAAACCAGGGACTAACTGTATATTGAACTTGACCCCATAGCACAGAACTTTTCTACTGTGTCATTGACAACATGGTTGAGTTTAGCTGCTTAAGATAGATTTGTTGTCTTGGCATCACATTTTCAGTGTTGGAATGGCAACAGTTACATGTAGATTGAGAATTATTTCTTCCCATGGACATTGACAGTGCATTCTTGATTTCAAGCTCTTTACAGGTTAATCAATCTTTTGTATCTGCTCCTGAAATTTATATATTGTGTCTAGAACTGAGATGACAGCTAGTCATGTGCTTTCTCAAACTGACTGACTGCTTAGTAGAACAGTTGTATTAGTGTGTAGCTCTACATACAATGCATTAATGAAGCAACTTTCTGCCTAAAGTTAGAGGTAGCAGTATGTAATGTCTGCTTTCTGTTCAGTATATAATATTGATAGATATCCAAAGGGATTCTTGTGGGCAGTGGGGTAGATATTTTTCCTGAATAAACATCAGAAAATCTCACTTGCAAACACATGTAGACGTCTGCAGAGAGAGAAGCTTGAATTTAACCTTTTATTTTGTGATTTTGATCTTTTAAGTTCACCTTTAGGTGTACCTGAGCTCAGTATTTTATTTGGCCTACTGTAAAATATTTTATCTGAGTGAATTATGACACATGTATATTGAGTGCTAAGTCTTAAGATAGCAAATGAGATGGATGTGGTAGAAGAATTTAGACATAAGATCTTCTGCAAGATGCTCAGCACCCCCAAATCCTATTGATTTCTATGGGAGCAGATGGTATTCAGTACCTTACAGAACTGGTCATGTGCTGATCATCACATTTTAAAAAGCTGACTCTTGTTAAATGCGCAAATCTCATTGTTTTCCTTTCTAGCCGTGCCAGTGTTGGATCCAATCCTGTGTTCTACCGATGTGCCAAGACCAGATGAGCCTATAACTTTGACTTGCAGAATTCATTCTTTTTTCCCTGAAACAATTGATTTGGCTTGGTATAAAGATGGTGATGAAGTGCCAGAGGAACCCTTCATTAGTGATGTGACAAGTGGGCCAGATGGACTTTTCTTCTGCACCAGTAGTTTAATATTACATCTTGGAGTTGAGGACAATGGAAGGAGATTCATATGCAAAGCTAAACTTAAAGGCTCACACCAGTATAAAGAATCTTCTTGGAAGCTGAAAAATTTGAGTAAGTTAATTTTCAAAATACAATTTTATTAGTAGAATGAAAACTGTAATGACCATCACCATAACACACACATTGCTTTTAAAGGAAAAATTATCGATCTCTGGGTGACTTTCTGCAGTACTCAGGTGCTCCCTTTTAAAAGGTGAAATACAACCCTCCACAGAGGGCCAGCAGAAGGCCTAGGCACCATCAAAGCCATATTTTGTGGATTTAACTGCTGCATAGGCTTAGAGCTGCTAGATCTTTGCACGGGGGTGAATTTCATCAAAAAGCCACATCCCCAGTAGGAAGAGGGGTGTATTTTTACACATTAACACACATTAAAATCCTACGGTAGACAAGACTGTTACAATTTTAATAAGTAGGAGTTTTGGTGTCACCTCAGTGAGCTAACACGTATTGAAATTTTGGTTTTTTACATGTGTAAAAATCCATAACAAATCACGTTTTTTCTTAGTGAAGACAAAGCCTCCCTGTTCTATCTCTAGGCCAGATCTTACACTCCTTGTGCAGGCAAAATACCCTTTGAAATCACTGTAGGTTTTGCCTGACTAGAAAATGAGTGGGTAAATGCAGGATCACGTTTTATTCTTTTACTATGTATAAAAGAAAACCAAGAACAAATGCCTCCCCCAGAGTTTTCTTTAAAAATCCTGTGCTTGGTTCAAGTTACCAACATTTCTTTTCTGATCCCAGACTGATGCCTACACATGCATAGTTTCAGTTCTCAAGAAGGTTGGGGACATTTGTAAACTACTGTACATAAATGTGGCATGTTTTACTCTCTGAAGCATTCCTCTGGGAAATCAAATATATATATATATTTTAGGGCTGTCAAGCAATTTAAAAAATAATAGTGATTAATCGCGTGATTAAAAAATAATAGAATATCATTTATTTAAATATTTTGGATGTTTTCTATATTTTCAAATATATTGATTTCAATTACAACACAGAATACAAAGTATACAGTGCTCACTTTATATTTATTTTTGATTACAAGTATTTGCACTGTAAAAAACAAAAAATAGTATTTTTCAGTTCACCTAATACAAGTACTGTAGTGCAATCTCTATCATGAAAGTTGAGCTTACAAATGTAGAATTATGTACAAAAAACTGCATTCAAAAATAAAAATGTAAAATTTTAGAGCCTGCAAGTCCATTCAGTCCTACTTATTGTTCAGCCAATTGCTCAAACACATTTGTTTACATTTGCAGGAGATAATGCTGTCTGCTTCTTGTTTACAGTATCACGTGAAAGTGAGAACAGGCGTTCTCATGGCACTGTTGTAGCCAGCATTGCAAGATATTTATGTGCCACATGCGCTAAAGATTCATATGTCCCTTCATGCTTCAACCACCATTCCAGGGGACATGTGTCCATGCTGATGACAGGTTCTGCTCGATAACAATCCAAAGCAGTGCAGACCGACGCATGTTCATTTTCATTATCTGAGTCAGATGCCACCAGCAGAAGGTTGATTTTCTTTTTTGGTGGTTCGGGTTCTGTAGTTTCCGCATCGGAGTGTTGCTCTTTTAAGACTTCTGAAAGCATGTTCCACACCCTGTCCCTCTCAGATTTTGGAAGGCATTTCAGATTCTTAACCCTTGGGTCGAGTGCTGTAGCTATCTTTAGAAATCTCACATTGGTACCTTTGCGTTTTGTCAAATCTGCAGTGAAAGTGTTCTTAAAATGAACATGTGCTGGGTCATCATCCGAGACTGCTATAACATGAAGTATATGGCAGAATGCGGGTAAAACAGAGCAGGGGACATACAATTCTCCCCCAGGGCATTCAGTCACAAAATTTAATTAACACATTTCTTTTGACGAGCGGCATCAGCATGGAAGCATGTCCTCTGGAATGGTGGCCAGAGCATGAAGGGGCATATGAATGTTTAGCATATAAATACCTTGCAATGCCGGCTACAAAAGTGTCATGCAAATGCCTTGTTCTCATTTTCTAATGACATTGTAAATAAGAAATGGGCAGCATTATCTCCTGTAAATGTAAACAAACTTGTTTGTCTTAGCAATTGGCTGAACAAGAAATCGGACTGAGTGGACTTGTAGGCTCTGAAGTTTTACATTGTTTTGTTTTTAAGTGCAGTTGTGTAACCAAAAAAAAAAAAGACATTTGTAAGTTGCACTTTTATGACAAAAAGATTGCACCATTGCACTACAGTATATGTATGAGGTGAATCATTTTTACAGTCAAATATTTATAATCAAAAATATACACTTTGATTTCAGTTACAACACAGAATACAATATATATGAAAATGTAGAAAAACATACAAAATATTTAATACATTTCAATTGGTATTCTGTTTAGCAGTAAGATTAAAACTGCGATTAATCGCGATTAATTTTTTAAATCGTGATTAATATTTTTGAGTTAATCACGTGAGTTAACTGCAATTTATCGACAGCCCTAAGATTTTTTATATATATAGATATAGATATAGAGAGAGAGAGAGAGACTCTAAAATGGTACAGTTCTGTAAAAAATTGCACATCCTGTCTCTCAGAAACAGAAGTGTTACCTCTATGAAAGTCTCTTTCATTATTTGATGTCTTATTTTATTTATATATAT